AGAGTGGAATTAAACCCAGTTCTCCCAGATTAGAGTTCGTGCAAACCACTACACCAACTGAATGCAGCTGCAGTGGCTCCCAACTTACCAGTCCCTGAAGTGAAGGGGATCTGCTTGACTGCTGCAGATGAGGTTGTCCACTCACCCACCCCCAAGCAGCCAGCCTCCTGTTCCCTCCCTTGCACCAGTTGCTTCTGGGCTGCATAACAGCCCTGGCCCCCAGGCCTTTTACACCACTGCTGTAGAGAGATTAAGAAATCCTGTTTGTACCGACATCAGCTTTAACTGAACATCCTACTGATGTTCAAATGAATTTGTACTTCATTTGAGAAGCCATGTTGTCTCTTGAAAGACAGTTCAGTATTAGATATCTTTCCAGTAACTGTAAAAAAAAGTCTTTATTCTGTAAGTCATGGTATGGGAAAGTAATTGACTTTTTAATAATTAAACCTGCATCATGGGAAGGCCAAATCTGTAGTTCAGATTTCTGCTACTATGTGTCAAATGAGAGGGCTGGAACCAGCAGGTCGTAAGTCTCACACTCATGGTAGTATACATCATTATGTTTTCATCCCTCTCCTCTAAGAACTAAGATACGATACTGCAGGAACATCCACCCTGTATTCCTTAGGAGGTGTTAATACCGACATTAAAAAGGGCAGTAATAATTCCACATGTTGGGCATGAGCAGCTCTTCTAGCCAGCTGCAGCTTAACTAGTATGATCTGCTGTATGTAATGAGGTTTTATTAGCCACCAGCAAAAACATGACCTTGATGCAAGTGGAAACAACTTTTTCTTTTGTCTTTCAATTGAATTTCTTACCTATAATGCCAGAAGTTCAGGTGTACTACAGATAATCTCTTTTAGCAGCAGGATATGGCCATTCAAGATGCAGTGTTAAGTAAAAGTGGATTCAGACTCCCAGGCAGGGATACTCTTGTGACTGCTTCACAGTTGTAGGCTTGGTTCTTACGCAGCAGGAGCTGTACTTATGGTAGTAGGGCACTATGACCATTAAGTACTCCAGAAAAATCACCTACTTTTGCTTTTCACGAAAGTATATCATTAGCACAAACAGCCCACTTCCATTTCAGGAAACAGTTCTTGTTATGGGTGCTCCCCCTCCCCCCATCATGATGAAATCCCGAAGCATCAAAAATTACCATTAATAGCCATCATATAAGCAAGCAAGACAGAACCATCCTTTTGTAAAGTACATTTACTCATGAAAATGTTGTCCCAGGGGAACTCTTCATGCCAAAGGAAGAGACTCCTCACCATACACACACACACTATACCTACTGATCAAAGCTAGGACCTTCTCAATACAGAACTACTGTACTTAAGCAAGAAGGGATAGAGAGATGTTAATATCTGTCGTGGAGCCTACTGCTTTGAATCAGTTCTTACAGTAGCATATACATGTTTTAAGACCAATCGCCATTCACACACTTTCTACCTCTCCTCTACTTTCCAACTACCCTAAATCAGCTACAATTGTCACAGAAATAATTACTCTGGGATGAGGTCAATCTGGATAGCATTACCATTTCTTGATGGATAGATCACCCATACATGAGTTCTAAAATACCTTAATAGATATTTCATTTGAGGTAGATGCATCTAGAAAACAAAACATTTTACATGGAGTTATACAAAGTAACATTCTCATCTCTATATTTCATAGTTAAATTTATTAAACACATGGTGTAAAATCTACATTGCTGTTTCAGGTTCCATGTTTACAGATAGGCGCTTTGTCACCATATGACAAGGGACTTCCACAGCCTACCTTCCTATGGGAGTTACGTTGAATACTGAGAAATTCAGGCTCATTCAGGCTCTCTTCTCACTGCTTTCCCTTTATTTCCCTTAGCCTTAGCACACACAGGCTTATGTTCCAGAAACAAAATGTGAAACAGCTCTAAGGAATGTTTGTTGTTTCATATGAGCGCCTAGAATCTATCTTGGGAACAGGGACAACTCCTAGAGAGCTCTAAAATTCATCTGACAAAAATACATAAAAGGGTAAATTTTTCTGATAAATTTGCAAAAATAATTGGAAGTGCCACCGTCTTACAAAGTGCTGGATACACAGTGCCATTTGTGAAACTTTCAGGCATCTTTGTGGAATTTCTTCAACATCAGACAACTTTAGTGGAGATTATTGTGCAAATCCTCAAATGGTACGAATTCACCCCACTTGTCAGTTGATGGCACCATACAAAGGGAAAATATGCATTAGCTACCTTCTTTTAAAGCAACAGTACTAACTACCTGCAAACTACAGTTAATGCACATGTAAACTCTCATGCATCAGAAGCCAATTTTAGGAGTAAGCAAAAGGGTTATTGGGATATCCCACTCATTGGACACCTCTATTACCCATATGAAATTGGATTGCACCTGTATTCTGACATCACACTAGCACACATACTGTATATCTGTATTATCCTAAGATACAACTCTCCTTCATAAGCAATTACCTTTTATTATACATCCACTAATTTATAGTTTTGTCTTTTACAAGGAAAGTGTTAGACTCTTTATGGTATTGAAATAAATCATGATTCCAGATTTTGACAGGGTAAAGTGGAATGGCTTGCTGTCAATCCAGACAGCTTTTTAATTCCAGGTCAATGATATGGCACAAACTGTGAAATGAAGAACTAGTCACAAGAAAAAAAATATTCCAACACACATTAAAATGTACAAACAATAAAAGCAATTTACATTGACAAATAAGGAATGTCATTTATTAAGGCTGTGCTTTAGAGAGGACGTCTAGGGTCAAGTCGCCTTGGTCAAGGCACAGATCGGGAGGAGGTGAGCACAGCTGTCTAGAAGAGGAGGAGGAGGTCTGTACAATCACTGATGAGGTGGGCATGCATGCAAATACAAAACCGCACAGCTGCTCTTTGCAACAAAACTGACATAAGTGAAACAAAATACTGTGAAGTTTTTACAAGTCCACCATTTTACTTCATTATTTTTTTTAAAAAAAAAATGGCAACAGATTTCCAAAACATAAAAAGATTCACAATTTGAGGAAGTTAAACAACTGAACCAAAAAGTGCTTCCCAGCTCCGAAACCTGCCTGGCTTGTGCTGTCTGGGGCAGAAGCATTCTGCAGGCATCTTGGGAGTGTTCCACACAACTGAAATGTTGGCCAAGGGAAGGAGAAACAGGACATTTCCACAGACACTTCAAAAGTTTGCGATCTTTCAAGTAGTTTGACTTCTTGCAGCCTCATTCCCAAGCACAACTGCATGGTACCCGCAAGGAAGGCTCAGGCATCCTTTAGCAGCAGAGGTGTGCTTCAAAGCGCACGTGGTCTCTTCGGACTGATTTGTTTACTGGCCTGTTCCTCCTCTTGCAGTGCTGTGCGGAAGGATTTCACTTTATCTTTAAGAAACATAGAAAATAAAAATCAGTTATTTGTTTCATGGCTCCTACATCCATGCCTCGAGGTAATCTGTTGCAGGCATAAATACACAACACAGGCTGCATGTAAATTCCCTTGGTGATCTTGAGGAGATATAAACAAGGAAGGTGTGACATGTATGAATGCAGAAAAAAAACACCTATTGAAAGATGCATAATCATGCAGGACATGTGAGACTAAAATACTAATAGTTACACAGATTTCATTTATATACCATTATATGGTTGTCAAACATGATGGATTTCCCCCCTTGATTCTCATACCTAGACTCTTTCGCGCTCTCTCTCTCTCTGATCAATTATGCTGAAATACTGAGGGAGGACACAGGGTTTTTTCCAGTTACCATTCTTTTTTAAATTAAGCCAGCTATAACTTTTGTCCAATTCTCAGATGCACAAAAAGTGTTTTCAAATAAATATAAATATATCTACCTCGAAGTTCAGTCAAAATGTAAATTTTTTGTTCTAGGATTGCTTCAAGTTGTGTCGCATATGAATCCACATCATAGTCTACTTCTTCTGTCATTTCCAAAAGAGCTTTTTCATCTTCTAACCACCTAATAGATTCCTAATAAAATCAAAGCAGGGAGGAAGAGAAACAGATATATGAAGACGAAGTACTGGGCTGAACGTTTGTTGCTGTTCTCAAAATTATCAAATCCTTTTTACTCAGCACAGAGTTGTAGCAAGACTGAAAAACATTACATACATACTGAAACAATTTCAGGAATAAAGAAATTTAATTGCCACTTAAATGAGGCCTAGGAAAAGAAGAAGGGCAACTCCTCCCATACTGCAAACAGAACATGTTAAAAAGCATATCTGTTAAAAAGCAGTCAGGTTAGAACAGATAAAAGGAAGTACTTCTTCACCCAAAGAGTGACTAACACATGGAATTCACTGCCACGGGAGGTGGTGACAGCTACAAGCATGGACGGCTTCAAGAAGGAATTAGGTAAACGTATGGAGCAGAGATCCATCAGTGGCTATTAGCCACAAGGTACAGACAGGAACTCTGGAGCAAGTAATGCTCTGTATTCTTGGTGCTTGTGGGCGGGGGGGAACAGTGGGAGAGCTTCTAGTGTCCTGGCCCCACTGCTGAACCTCCTGATGGCACCTGGTATTTCTAGCCACTGTGTGACAGAGTGTTGGACTGGATGGGCCATTGGTCTGATCCAACATTGGCTTTTCTTATGTTCTTATGGTTGATCCCCCAAATGCAGGCCATAACACTGACTATTGTTAGTTCAAGTCAGGATCTGAAGCTTGTTTCATTGACCACAATTAGTCTTGAGAACATAACTATGGTCCCCCCTTGACCAGTCTTAAGGACTTCCTTCTCCACTCATGTGCAATGATCAACAGAGTGGTGCTGAAATAAGGAGTCATCAGAGACCAGCCAAGTCTGCCTCTCTTTTTAGCTACCTTATCTAAGTTAGCATTTACAGCCATTCTTGCTTGTTGTTTGTTTGGTAAACTTTATATAACAAAATCTACCCATGTATATAGAGAGTGAGTGGAAACAGGTAGCAGGCTTTTGTGGGGTTGGGACTATATCTGTAAATACTCCTAAGTATGTGGTTGGGGAGTGGTGCTTGGTGGAAGGTACAAACCAAGTGAGGCACATGAGTAAAAATGTCAGAGGAACAGGAGGTACACAGTATCTGCTGCTATCATATTCTATGACATGAAGTTGAGATGGGATGCTTGGGGAAGGTACATTCGTGTATAGGAAAACTGAAAACAGCAGCTGGGGGTTGTTTCCCTCAGGGATTTTATGAGGAAGAGCTTAATATGAATACCTAGCTGTTTCCTTTGGTAGTGTCCAAAAAGGGGGGGGGGACGTGCCATTCCCACAGCAGCTGAACATTCCCTAGTATAGCTTCCCCTTCCTCATATGCCACTGACGTGAAGAAGCTTTGCCGTTGGTTGGGCACTGTGAAGCAGGATGGAATGCAAGTGGGGCATGGGGAGGGACTGAAGGCAGTGAAAAAGGATTTGCAGATACAAGCCAGGATTCAATGGTCATCTGCAAACTGAATCCTGCTTACACAGGTTAGCCACAGTTAGAATAAACCATAGTTGTGTGGTGCAACCAAATTGATCCAGTAGGCAAATCATTTAGAATACTGCACAAGTGCCATAAAAAGTTTCAGAAATCACAATGCCATAATCAGATGTTTAAGAGCCCATGAAGCATATCTAGGAATTTGGGCACATCCTGTGCAAGTTGCACACATCTTTTTTTTCTTCAAGCTACTTGGCTTTCACTTAACATTTACCTGGAAGACAGCTCTATGGTCTTCTACTACTTGTTCTTCCATTTCCACCATCTGTGAGACAGCTTCATGAAAAGTGAATAACTGCGGTGAAACTTCCTCCTCCTTTAAAACAAAAAGCACACTCCAATGAAACTCTCTAGAATTATATATACCAACCTCTTTTTGAAACATAAACAGAAGGAAAGCTGTACTCTGAGGAACCAATTGACATCAATAAAAAAAGAACTACATAGTTAGTGTAAATGCACTTTCTGTTTAGAGGAGACAGTGCATTCAGACAGGCTGCTTTCAACTTGAAGACATACAAGCTCTGTTCCACAAGCTCTGTTTCTCTCATGCCATCACACATGACAGTCAAGGTCACAGGCAATGTATCGCTTTTCATGCAGCACAGCATTACCAGATGCTGGGAATAAACAACTGAAGTTATATGGCCATCATGCCCTGCTGTGAGCTTCCAGGAAACATCTGGCTGCCCACAGATGGGAACAGAAGCCTAGATCGAGTTTTGGTTTGATACAACAAGACAATTCTTAAGCACCATAGGCTTTTGTATTCCTTAGATGTATACTTATAGAGTCTGAAATGGGAAAAAGTAGAAGTCCTATCCAAGGCTCCCTCTAAGCTGTGGAGTCCTGTGAGCAAAAATTCTACTTGGTGAGCTTCTGGCATTAAAGTTGTGAGCGAGCGATTTGGCTGCTGCATGAATTTGTTTGCTCTGAAGCCCTCCTTCCTGAGCTAAGACAAAAATCTGTGAAACGGAGGCTAAAAAACTGTGAGCTAGCTCACACTAACTCAGCTTAGAGGGAACACTGGTCCTATCTAGTTTCAGAATACTTTTTTTTAGTATTGTAAATACTATTTTTCTTACCCAAAGTGTGTGTAGAAAAACAGGTAAGCTGAAAAAATAGAGTCGGAGAGAGAGAGGGGCTCCTAGGTGTGCTCTTTCCTAAACCAGGCTAAATAAAGTAGCATTTTCTCTCAACCAAAGTGCCAAATATACTGTGATGTACACCAGGACTATGGTCACCCTGTTCCACACTGGTGAGCCAAGCTGATCTGCCTATTCAAGACAGACTTGGAACCTTGCATCCTAGAAATAAAGCTTTCCTAGAAAGTTCTGTTCAAACTCACAAGGAGTTCTAAATACAGAACAGACATATGTTTTGAAGGTATATTGAAATGTTTCTTTCATTATCCTTAAGGTGTAATATCTTTGGAGGAACAGGTGGCAGGATAAATGTATGTGCCTTGTAACATGGTTAAGATGTAGACTTTTTAAAAAAGATCTGTATTGTGTACTGTGGAAGATGTACACAAAGATACCACTGACAGAACCCAAAGCTCAAGGATGTCCCATTTGTTCTCTTGCTTCACCATGTATGAATTTTGTTAACAAGTTAATTTTATCATTAAATTTATAAATAGGGTTGCCAAATCTCTCTTACCTCCTCGGCGGGGGATTGCTGGCCATCTCTATGTTTTCCCCTCAAATGGCTGTGGCCCCGCCCCAGCGTGTGACGTCACATCCGGGTGACGTGCACGCGGGGGTGGGGTTTCCCCCGGGCCCCGATTCCGCAGGGGCAGAAATCGGGGCTCGAAAGCGGGGGCATTTGGCAGCCCTATTTATAAAGCATGTCTGATTGAGGAGGAATCAATGTGGCTTCTGCCAAGGGGAATTTTGCCTCACTGTTCTTTCAGAATTCTTTTGAAGGTATTAACCAGCATGTACATGAGGTTATCTGGTGGACTATGTACACTGAGATTTTTTTAAAAGGTGTTCACAAAGTCTTTCACTAAATTTATCTCAAGGAACTTAGCAGTTACTGGTAAGAGCAATGATCCCCTTAAGGATCACTAAACAGTTAAAAAACAGGAAGTATAAGATTGGAACATTCACAAAAGGTAAAAGTTAACTGTAAAACTTCCTAAAACTACACTTCCTCAAAATCATTTGCAGTCAGAAGCAAATACTGAGTTAGCCAACATGGCAGATGACAAATTATTCAGGACGGTCAGGGTCTTCAAAAGGCTATCTTCAAACTCGATGACAGGTGAGATTTAATCATAGATGCACTTTGGGACAAAAAATCCTAACTTTATTTATATGCTGAACTGATCTGAATTAGTCATCCAGCATAATCACAACAGGATCACAATAAAAACTCACTAAAATGTCAGCTCAGTGCATTGAGATAGGCCCAAACGCAAATTCTTTCTTGACAATAACCCTTTCACAGTAATTCCTAGCAAACATCAGCTGTCCCAATGCCATTGTATAGATTATGCTGCAAGCACACCTACAATACTGTGTGTCATTTTGATCACCTCAAAGAAGAGCAGGAACAAAGTACAGAAGTGAAGCAATAAAAGTCTGGGGATAATCTTGTTTATGAAGAAGCCTGAGAAGGGGCTTTAAATTCAGAAGAAAGAGGGCTTAATTATGAGCAGAGCTGAGGCACTGAAGACTTGTTTTAGTTTGAGTTAGGCTGATTTTATTCTTGTTTTATATTATGTTACCCCCCCTCCCCCCGGATGGCTCTTTGGGGCCATGTCTGTTGAAACATACATCAAAAAAATATAAATAAGAGATTATCCTTTCTTGTTAAAACACAGAGGTTTGGATCCTCAAGAACTCTTTCATGGAGGAAGGATTTCCACACATGGAACACAACTCTCTTGACCACCACCCACACACATAACCCCAAATGCCTCCTGAAAATTGCATTCCATAGGTAGAAATCCTTCCAGCCACAGAAGAGCTCCAGAAAGATCCAAGCCACAGAATTCAAAATAGTCTAATCAACTGATCAGCGGTAGCTTCACAAATGAAAGAATGCATGCAACATGTCATTAGCCTCTGCTTTAATTTAATACAGGGTCCAGACTTTCCTTATGGCAGAACGGTTTTATTAGTAAATAACCGGTCATAGTTTGCATTTCGGCTGTGGTATGTGAGATACTCACATTTTGTTCACAAAGTAGTTTAAGATCATCTCTCTGAGGTGAGCTCCCAACACCCCACTGTGCCTCCAAGTCATCAATCTGATTTGGAGTATGATGCATGATTGGACGGATATCACCGGCAGCATTGGGATCAACAGTCAGCTCCTTTACTCTAAGGTTGTAAAACAGGTGTTCATTTTAAAATTAGTAACATTTCATTTAATTTAGGACAGAAAAACTCATCAGTTCACATAAATAAGAGTGATGATGTCAGCCTCATGCGCATAATGCAGTCTTAGGGAGCCAATCACAATGTTCTGGATTACGGGGCCAAACTTTAGAGACATGCAAGTGCTGAAATCATAATCAATGCATACCCATTTTTAAAAAATGAACCACTACACAATTTCAATTATTCAGATGCTTAAGTGTCAGTACTACAAACATAACATCACCACTTCTTATACATGAAGGGGAATAACAAGCCTGAGCATGAAATGCTTAAAAAAGAACAAAAAAGATGAATAATAATTGGGAAGATGATTGCAGGCCATGCAGTACCACCACCTGTCAAACAGAATGGAAACAAAAAGGAGGTGATGGCTATAAAGGCAGGGAGAGCAAGTGAAGGTTTGTCTGTAAAATTACAAAACTGAAGAGAGGACGAAAAACCCTCAAAATAAAGATTCCATGTAAAGAATGAAGTAGACCTGGTGATCGAAGGAGAAAAGTCGTCATACTCATAGGAAGGAGAGAGATCAGAGCGACTGCCACTACCCTGTGAGAAGGGAATGTCCGAAGGACTAATTCCAAATTCCTTTACTCTGCAGCAGCAAGATACAGCAGCAAATTAAAAGAAAGTGTTCTTGTAAAGACAGTAAAAATTACAGAGTTTTATTTCAGTTAGTCATTTGCATAGCCATTTTGCTAGTGCCCCAATGTGCTTAACAAACCACCTCCAATAACCCTCTTTGTGACCTTCTAAGAGGTCACTATTACAACACAGAGACCAATGAATCAATGGGTCAAGTGGAATGCCAGTAGTTTCAGCCTTCTCAGTACTAGACCACACTGACTTCTTGGAATTTAGCCCTTTTATGAAAAGCTTCAGGAATTTAAATAATTGAGGATTTACCTGTATCTATTGCCCAGATTTTAGTGGTCCCTTTAATTATGAGTGGTACAAACATGCAAATGTACACTTTTACCACCTATTTGCGATATATCAGTTCTCAGAAGGTGGTACACTGAAAATGAAGACTGTGTATGAACTCACAGAAGTGCTGTGATGTATTGAGCAGAGTCTAATAAAACTGACATACCAGATGACTGCACACCATGCCAAAGGAACCCGTATTTCAGCATAATCTCAAAAGTGTTTTTGGCAAAGCACCACAACAAATACGTCTAGCATGATAGCTGCCCACCCATTACTGCCATCCTGACACAAAGCAACAGATATTTCCCAGTAAGGTACATCATCTGACGACTGATTCTCTGGCAAACAGCAAAACACACTTCTTTTAGAAGTGATTGTTCAAAACAGGTTGTGAAGGTCAAGTGTTCACTGCTGCCTAACAGAACAGCATGTTAAATATTTCAGCATACCCTTTCACTGTATCAGCACCCTTAGAGGGCAGCTGCAGTTGTTCACTTGCTGATTCACCATGCTCCGTTCGTCTTAAGGCCAAGGTCTCCCCACCCTAAACTTGAAGCACAGACTAAAGCAAATGGGAGCAGGGAGAGCGCATCATGATCAGTTGTCAGCACTTCAGGCCAACCCATCTCTGTAGATGAATACTATAGTTCTCGATTTCAGAGGTGAGTAAAACTGAAGGCTGAGAGGCTCAACTTTGTGTTGCTAGAGAAGCCACATATCTATCCAGATATTGTGAGATTGGTTTATGTTCTTCATTTTGAAGTGCATCCAAATGTAAAAGTAAAAAAAATGTTTGGATCCACCTTCAAATGTGAATTTCCTAGGCATGTAAGACAGTAACCTATGAGGCAACAATATCCAACAAATGGAAATGCTAAAAATCCTAAAAAACTGATTTTAAAGGCAGGAGCTTCTCATACCTGTTTGCGTATCTTAGAGTGTTTAGAGTGTTCTCACAAGATGCCATCCCTGGAGAAATAGTGGCGATCTGGGAGGAAAACATACCAGAAGCCAGCAAGTTATTTTCTTTGAGAGAAGTAACAGTTAAGGACTTTGAAGAAAGTATGTCCAAAGCAGTATTTGTATCACATAGAGAGGAATTTTAAAATATTTATAAAGCTAAAAAAAAAAATTATGTATCAGCAAGTGCCCTGTATGCATGTATATTAGGTGCTTAATCATTCCATATTCCATTTAAACAGAAATCATATTTTAGATCACACTAAAACATTCAGCAAGAAAATTCAGGGGAATATGAAGAAACTAGGAAGACTGGGCTGCGAAACTAAAATTAAAAAAAAAAAATTCAATGTGTCGATGCAATAGGGCAGAACAATAATACCAAAAATAGATTATATACAAATAGGTAGTCATTCACATAAAATGTATGGCCAAGTCTCAACATGGCAGCCAGTGCCATACATAAAACAGTAAGCAAACTCCATTTGACACATTTGAACACACACGAGGGTAGGACTGTAGCACAGTGGCTGGAGGTAAATGGATCAGGTAGTAATTATGTGAAATGCCTCTGCCTGAGGCCCTGGAGAACTGCTGTCAGTCAGGGCAGACAGTGCTGACCTCAATAGACCAGCGGTCTGACTCAGTAAAAGGGACTTCATGTGTGTTCAAATAATAACTTTATAAATTCAGTTGTCCATTACAGTCTCACGGAATTTTGAAATAATCTTGGCACCATCCTGCAGCTGCAAAGGCTTAAGACATTATCATTCTTGTACTATAATTCTTTTTATTTCAAAGTTAATATATTTTTTATATCTCAACAACTAACTGGGTCACTAAAGTATGAAAGAAGGGGATGTATTAGGAACACATCTAAAAACAGTAGAAAGCATTTGTTGATATAGAAGTAGTATAAAAATTTTTGCATAGAGGGCACTTTTGTAATTCTGGTGAATAGTTTTCACAACCATGCCAAAACTCAATGATAATGCACCAAAAAACCTGGTACCATCTTCAGACTTGCCAAAAGAGAACAACATATCATACTGGAAGTGTGAACTTCCTCTTCTAATTTTTAAATTCAAGTTCACAGCTGACAGTTGAAGGCCATAGAAATAATCCTGGGAGAATGCACTAAGAGGTTTGGTTATGAAGAAAAACAGGACTTCTGTCCCCAGATCACAGTTTAAGAATACAATGGCACCTGAGAATACAGAAGCTACTGTCTTGTGTTCTACAAGATCTATTACCATGTAGAGAAAATCCCCAAAAGGCCATGTTTACAACAGTACGAAGCACTGCAACTTAATAAACTTACCATACAGGTGCGAGAGTTTTCTCCTATGAATGAATCTCTTAGGACCTGAGTAAGTTTACTTGCTCTGAATGGAGTATGAGGTTTATTTCGGCCTAAGGCTCTGATGCACTCCTGCAAGAATAAACATGTTTATGCTTTTTCATGCTCAGGACCAGTGCAAAAATATTTAACTGCAACCAACAAGCAGGGAGGGGGGGACAAATACTAGATGACAGACTGATCTGCTCTAAGCTAATACTAAAATACTGCAAGTCAGCTTTCATTATATCTCATTAAAGAAAGACAGATCTGACATTGAACCTCAAGGCTATCATATTACTGGGGTTGTGTGTTGCAAGAGCTTGGAACTTTAAGCCTGAGCAGAACATTAACACAAGAATCTAATGGAGGCATGGAGCAAATGGCAAATACTTTTAATTGCTACTGTTCCTGATGTCTTTTGCAGCAGTGTGCCCCACAGCACTACGTGAGTCACTCAAGCCAGAGACGGACAGAGAGCGCTTGGTGTGCTTTGTTGTTGCAGGGGCTTTTAAAAGCTCTGTTAAAAAAAGTGCTTCTTCAGGTTAACTGAAAAACTCAACTTAAAAAGAAACCTGAAAAGGCCCCCAGGCTTATCTTTTGCATGTGTGTATAAGGTAAAGGTAAAGGTTTCCCTTGCTCGAAAGCCAGTCGAATCCAACTCTAGGGTTGCGGTGCTCATCTCCGTTTCCAAGCCGAAGAGCCAGCGCTGTCTGAAGACATTTCTGTGGTCATGTGGCTGGCATGACTAAACGCCAAGGCACATGAACTAACACAAACTAGTATCTTCAGTCTCTCAAAAGGATTCCCCCACCACAAAAGATAAAATTGTCAGCAGCCCTTCTCCAGGATTGCAAAGCTAATATGGAAATAAGCCACACATTATTATTTAATTAATTTATACCCCACCTTTTCCCCCAATGGGACCCAAAGTGGCTTACATCATACTCCTCTCCTCATTGTATCATGAATGGAATGGACTCCTCATTTTATCCTCACAACAACACTGTGAGGTAGGGTAGGCTGAGTGTGTAACTGGCCCAAGGTCACTCAGTAATCTTCCATGGCAGAGTGGGGATTTGAACCTGGGTCTCCCAGATCCTTGTCTGACACTACACTAACCACCACACTACACTGGCAGAGAGTGAAGTTTATCTGAATATTTCACTGTCATACTATGATTTGTACTATATTAACATTTCATTCTTCATTATGTTATTGGAAACAATTTTAAGTATTTCAGTGGAATATATACGTTTCAAAAATAAACAAAAACAATAACAAGGAAATGAAAATGTTAAAACCTTTTTTTATTGAAGAACAGAACAATGGGAGCTTATCCTTAGTCAGGATTCTCCTTCCATGACATAGAAATGTTGATCTTTTAATCTCTTAGGCATTTGTTCCTTAGCAAGCATTCCCTAAATTACATTAAAACAAACTGTCTCCTCCTTGCCCCTAAGTGGTCCTGCTCCTACTAGTGTTTAGAGTTGCCTACAAGGGGTTCACTTTACTCACCTGGGAGTAAGCACCATTGAACAATAGTGGGCCATACTTCTGAGCAGGCATACACAGGATTGCATTGTAGATTTCTTATGACACTTCATAGAACATGCACCCACACCATAGTATTAACATATATACACAGAGATTATAATCTGGAAGCTGGAACCACATGAAGCAGAGAGTTCTCTGTGCATTTATGAGCTCCAATGACAGTAGGTGAGAGATTGAGCCTACTCTAGAAACTGCACAACACTGTTAAGAGGCTACTTTATAGTCCCTACTCCATGTTAGCACTCCAGTTTGGTGTAGTGGTTTCCCCTCCCATATATCATATCTCTCTCTCTTTCTCTTTCTCTCTCTCTCTCTCTCTCTAACATCAAGCTGAATGATACATTCTATGAAACTGGAAAGTTAGATCACTATGGATCCTAATGAAGTTTATTTATTTTATTTAAAACATTTTGATGCTGCTTTTCCACCCAATCCCAAGTTGTTACGTTACACTTCCTTGGTTGGAGCCAGTGCAAAATTTCCACTTGTGCTAGACCTCTTAAGCAACACAAGAAAACACAAGAAAAACACATTAAAAAGGATGACAGTAGCTGCTTCTGTTCCTATTTGCATTTCTGCCTGTAGAAGACGTTGTGCAGCCCATTTCTGGACACTTTATTATATATGAAGGAAAGCACTGGGTGTTATGCTAAATCCATTTATGCACCTGTGCACTGCTGGATCCAAGCCCCATCCAGATATTTTTTATAGTGGATCAATGTGGCTATTTAAGCTAATATCATAATGCAGAAGACCGTAGACTGATGGTCTGACAAGACGTTTCAGCATGTGTAAGTATGCTTATAATAAGTTATGAACATTGCATTCTAGGACAACAATGTTGTGTGAGTGTTAGACACACAGTTTTGTTCTACTTGTGTGCGTGTGTGTGTTAAGTGCCATCAAGTCCCTTCTGACTTATGGCTAGCCTATGAATTAACTACCTCCAAATGTCCTGAGGGTTTTGGCGTCCTTTTTGAATCAGTCCATTTCATGTCGGGTCTTCCTCTTTTCCTGCTGTCTTCAGCTTTTCCTAGCATTATTGTCTTTTCTGGAGAGTCTTGTCTTCCCATAATGTGACCAAAATATGATATCCTCTGTAACGCCCTCCTTATAGGGAAGGACTAGTTTCCCTTTAAAAGTGCTCTTTATTTTGTTTAACCGGGTATTTTCTGCTGCCACCAGGAATTTTAATGAATTCCAAACCTCTATGCTTTTACTGTTGTTCTTACTAATTTTGTAGACCGAGTTCAAGGCTTATGGGGAACTATGTGGTCCTGGGAAGTATTCCATTCAGAGCTGGTATAAACTTGGATGAAAGAGGATTTATCGAAATAAGTATTACATAAGTGGGTGGTTAAAATGTAACTAGGAATATGAAAATGATGAACAACTGATTTGGTATCACACACAATCTTATCCCTCTCTGACAGGGATCTTTTCTTGTAAGATTGTAACAACTGTTTATCTCAATATCATATATGTTCACTGTTTCACTCCAGTTTGTTATGACACCCAGACTCTCCTATAACTTTTCTTCAGTTAAGCTTTCCTTGAATTTTTCCTTTACCCTCAGCTCTCTTTCTCTTTTTGTGACCAACCTAAACTGTCAACTTCTAACTGACTCTCAACAGAACAGCCTGCATACACCAACTGTCAACTTGTAACCTCCACTCCTGACTGACACATATACGCATCCACCCAGATTCACTTCCCAAACCCCTCCCCCTCTCTGTCAACCACCAATCAAACCATACTTGAATCTCTCAACCACTCTAGTCTACCTACCACAGCCATGCAACCAAACTTTTAAAGAGACACACACACACACTCAAACAAGGAATCATTACACCCTCATTTTGGTAATTTAAGATTCTAGGGAGAGTTCAGACTTGATTTGATCTAGAACCCACTTATTTGGCTTTTTTGTGGTCCACAGTATCTGTAAAATTCTCAAACACCACGTTTCAAATGAATCAACTTTCTTCCTGTCAGTTTTCTTCATTGTCCAACTTTCACACACATACATACTAATGGGCAATACTACAGTATAGTATAGTTCCCCTTGTACAGAACTGAAATAGTTTAAACAATTGGTAAACTCATATATGGATATATGCGGTGGCTCAAGTGGTTAAGAAGCTGAACTGCAGGCTGTGGAAGGTCAGTAGTTCAGCAGTTCGAGACCCGAGTTGCCGCATGACGGAGTGAGCTCCCGTCTCTAGTTCCAGCTCCTGCCAACCTAGCAGTTCGAAAGCAAGAAATTGCAAGTAGATAAATAGGTACCACTTCAGTGGGAAGGTAACAGCGTTCCATGCACCTTGGTGTTTAGTCATGCCGGCCACATGACCATGGAAACGTCTTCAGACAGTGCTGGCTCTTCGGCTTTGAAGCAGAGATGAGCACCGCAACCCTAGAGTCAGATTCGACTGGCTTTCAAGCAAGGGAACCTTTACCTTTTTAAACTCGTATATAGTGGCTTCCTTATGAAACTGCCCAGACACCCTTGCCTCCAGGATCTGCACAGGAACTGTGTAATGGAGTCCCCCTTACAGAAATTAGGCCATATGAGAGTCATCTGTTTAGTTTAGAACCAGTCCAATCCAAACAGACTAGGATTAAGAGAAAAACCAAATGTTTCAAAGGGGACACTGCTCATGAAACTGCAAAAAAACCCACATGACTTGAAACGACCTTTGGCACTTACCGTGAAGGGTCCTTCTCCTCTGAGGTTAGGAGGACATCTCCATGGGTTATTCCCATCGTTCCTTTAGGGAGGCAGGAAATACTTTTTTCTCCTTCCTGTTGGCGCCTTGGGAATAGCCCTGCCCCTCAGTTCTGGGACTCCATAAGCAGTGAGTATCAACTAAGGCTAACTCCCTTGCGCCAAGCAGGTAAACTTCCAACATTAATGATAGAACTATAAAACAGTAGAACAAGAACACAGAAGAAGAAGAAGAGAACAGCACAGAGAAACACAGGCAAAAGGACGATGATGAAAGCAGGAGGGCCGAGATGTCCTCCTAACCTCAGAGGACAAGGACCCTTCACGGTAAGTGCCAAAGGTCGTTCTCCCACTGAGGTGGAGGACATCTCCATGGGACCTCCAAAAGCACTGTCCCTTAAATGGGTGGGTCATCATCGCCAGCCAAAGGGAGAATGTGCTGAAGGGCTCTGATTCCGAATGCTGCGTCGGCTGAAACAATGGTGTTTAGCTTGTAGTGACGAATGAAGGTAGATACCGACGTCCAAGTAGTGGCCCTGCAGACCTCCTCGACTGAAGCTCAATTCGTGAACACCGCATTGGTTGCCGCACTTCTCAAGGAATGGGCCGTGATCCCTTTGGGAATTTCCATTCCCAACGCCTTGTAGGCCTCCGTGATGCATGACCTTAGGACTGCGCTGATGGAAGCCATGGACATATGATTTCCCGTATGTGGAAAGGAGATGTTGATGAACATGAAGTCCGTTTTTTGTAGAGATTCAGTGCGCACAATGTAAATCTTTAATGCCCGTCTGACATCAAGGGTGTGCCATAGCCTTTCTCTGGGATGTTGTGGCTTTGGACAGAAAGTAGGTAAACAGATCTCTTGAGCACGATGAAAAGCGGAAGAAACCTTTGGCTGAAAGGTGGGATCGGTCCTAAGTACCATTTTATCCTTGTGGAAGACAGAGAGCGTGGCCTTTACCGATAGAGCACCCAGCTCTGAGACCCGCCGTGCTGAGGTTATTTCCACCAGGAATAACGTCTTCATCCGGAGCCACTTCATTCCGACTTCCCTGAGAGGTTCGAATGGTGCTTTGGTAAGGGCTGTCAAAACCATGTGTAGCCTCCAGGTTGGGAACCTGTGTATCTGAGGAGGCGACTTGGCTGTTGCCCCTTGTAGAAACAGCTGTATATGGGGGTGTTTGGTCATCCTGTATCCTCCTATGCGAGGAAGGACGGTCGATAATGCCACCACTTGCCGTCGTAGGGTGGCTGCCTTCAAGCCGGAATCCAAACCGTCTTGTAAAAAGGAAAGGACGTCCGCCGTTGTAGGAGACAGAGGATCCAGCTTCTTCTTCCTAGTCCACCGCACAAATGCCTTCCAAGTGGTATTATGAATGGGAATGGTGGACTGCCTTCTTGAGGCCATAAGGGTTGCCAAAACCTTGTCC